CACTTCTTAGGTTTTGGTCGTCCGTGTTTGCTCTGCTCCTGTTTTTGTATTGTTTTATGGACTTTGATAATGAATACTTTTCGTTATCTCCATATCCTTCATTCCATAACCTTGTAAAAATACATTAATTTTCATGGGATCAAATGTTCGTAGTATTAGGAAAACATGCAGTTTCAAGGGAGTTGGGTTTCGTAGATTCAGAAGCTTTTTTTTTTTGTCTTGATTTGAAATTTTAATATTTTGTGGCGGACATGAATTCAAAGATATCTTTCTTTTAAGAAAACTACGAAATTGTACCCAAAATAAAATTTAGTGATTTCGCAGTGCAAGTATTACTGTGTCATAGCAATTTTTCAATGATATATTATTATGCGCCCGAATTGATAGATCCGGGGCGTGTATTGTTTTTGTCCTGTCTGTCTGTTTGTCTGTTTGTTTGTCTGCAAACTTTAACCTTCGCCATAACTTTTGAACCATGAAAGATAGAGACTTCACATTCGGTATGCATACTCCACTAATTAAGCTCTTTCATATGACACCAAGGCCAATGACCTTGTGACCTTGACTGTGACCTATATGCTAAAAATAGCTTTTATCTGCAAACTTTAACCTTCGCCATAACTTTTAAACCGTGTAAGATAGAGACTTCGTATTCGGTATGCATACTCCACTAATTAAGCTCTTTCATATGACACCAAGGCCAATGACCTTGTGACCTTGACTGTGACCTGTATGCTAAAAATAGTTTTTTCGTATCTTTGTCATAACTTTCGAACCATATAAGATAGAGACTGCATATTTAGTATGCATATTCCACTAAATAATCTCTTTCAAATGACACCAAGGTCAATAACCTTGTGACCTTGACTGTGAATTTTATGCTAAAAATAGTTTTTTCGTATCTTTGCCATAACTTTCGAACCACAAGAGATAGAGACTTCATATTTGGTATCCATACTTTACTAATCAATTTCTTTCAAATGACACCAGGTCAATGACCTTGACTGTGACATATATGCTAAAAAATAGGTTTTTTAGAATTTTGTTGCCGCCGGGCGCATAGTGTTTCACAAACACATCTTGTTTGATTTAGTGTAAATTTATTGATGTATTTTTTCCTGTCTTTGACATAATATCCCTTAGTCATATCACTACCAATACTAGTTTATGTCAAAATCTGATGATTCAATTACCTTTGTGTCGTTTAACATTAGCCACAATTGTATCCAACGAGGGACAGATTCAGGAAATCGAGAGGATGTGTCTTTCTACAAAAAAGAAAATGAGAGTTAATTAAATTGTTTCATAAAAAGTTTGTGAGATCGTCACCATCGTCTCAAGCGCTACGGTTTGTCCAGAGTCCGCATACTAGCATATATGCATGTAGCTATCTCCTTTCCGGCCAGAATGGAATAGGTTTGTACATTTGGCCGTGGTTTGTTTCTTTTCTTTGTTTGTATATTATTTAACGTCCCTCTTGAGAATTTTTCACTCATATGGAGACGCCACCTCTTGCCGGTGGAGAGCTGCATATTTTGTCCTATGCTCGGCACTCAGTGTCATTGAGCCTTCAGGGATCTGTTTCGTGCCAGCCCCTATACTGCAGCACGGGACCTCTGTTTAAATACGGTTTCATCCGAAGGACCGGTCTCCACGTCCAACAGAGGGATCGAACCCGCGACGTAAGGATCAAGTCCTTACTTCGAGAATCTAAAGCAGCCGCTCTAACGACTGCACTACGCGCGCTTGCGACGATGGGTCGTTGCTTTTGTACTGGATTGTACAATGTAGATGATCTAGTTTTCTTTCATTTATGAGATTGCTTATTTAAATACATAGACCATGTATTATCGATTAACAATAAATATACTTGTAGTGAACTGAATAGTCTTTCTATATTTTAATATTTTACTGACTATCGATAATAAAGGCAACCTTACAATTTCATTGTATGACAAACTTACTACCGTCAACTTTCCTTTCTTGCGTAGTAATATTCCGGTACCATCTGCATATAGTTTTACATCTTCTAACTTATTCAATACTCAAAAGCATACTCCGAATACAATCAATTTTATGATTTTTAAACCGATACAAGCTACTGACAAAAAAGTTGACAATACAGGGATTTCAACAAACTTGTCTTATAGTCAGCATTTCGTAGATTCTAGGGTCATTAAAGTGACCTTGTTAGCAAATGTAACCTAGCTATCATTGGGTCGTATTTTGACTGACTTGTTTCCAACTAATTGTTAAGACTTGTTTTATACAGAATTTGACTATGGGAAATTCTGTCTACCTTATCATGGCGGGTGTGACCGGTCAAAAGAGGATGTTTACTCCTCCTAGGCATCTGATTCTAGCCCGCGTTCTGTGGTGTTTTGTTTTTTTTTTTTGCCCTCTTCAATTGATCTGTCTACTAAGATTTTGAATTTTAAGAAAAAGAAAAAATACAAACTTGCCCATTGCCTCCCCCTCAAAAAAATATCAGGGGAAAAAAGGGCGGGGGTATATAGTTTTTGTTCTGTCCATCCGTCTGTCTGTCTGTTTGTCCGCAAAAACTTAAACCTTGCCCATCATTTTTGAGTGGCTAGGACTATGGCTTTCATATTTTACAGGTGTATTTTTTGCGATTAAACCTTTCTTTGGGTACTTCCAAATTTAACCTCTTGACCTTGGCCTCGGAGTTTTATGTACTTTTAAAAAAATACCACATTTTAACCTTGGCCATAACTTTAGAACAGTAGGAGCTAGGGCTTTCAATCTTCACAAGTGTATTCATTGTGACACGACCTTTCAGTGGATATAAATATTTTTGACCTTTTGACTTTGATCTTGGAGTTTGACCCACTTTTTAAAAACTTTAGCTTTGGCCATAGCTTTTGAACAGTTAGAACTAGGGTTTTCATGTTTCACAGGTGTATTCATTGTAACAAAACCTTCCGTTGGGTACCAACAATTTTGACCTTTGGAGTTTGATATGCATTTGAGAGAATTTAACCTTCGACATAAGCTGCCATATGGGGGCATCAGTGTTTCACAAACACATCTCCTTCATTTTTTTTAGGGGGGAGGTCATTTCATTCCACAATATGCTACAATTGGAGATGCAGATTGTACTGCCTTTCATGTTAATTTTAATTTACTGAAATATTTTCAAATACACAGTTAACCAATTTACTTTATTGCCACAAACAGAAAAAGTAGGGGTGCTAAAGTGTGCCCCAGTTATAAAAAGGTGATGACAATATACATGTATGTATAAAGGTTTGCCTGAGGTAAGTGTTACTGATGAGGTTTTCAGTAAAATGCTGAAATAAACAATTACAAATACATGTATACAAATACATATACTACAAATAAAATTTATACAAAGTTACTATGTTTGAATGAACTAAAACCAGGAACAATACTGACAAATTAGATACAGTTTTACTCACTTAAAGTTACAAAGGTTATTCAAAGTCACTTTAAATCAGCACTGAAACTGAAGCTTTAAAATGATAAATTGAGATTAACACATAAAACTTGCATTGTGATTGGTTATGGTTTGTCTGAGTTCGGACATTATAAAGTCTTTTACAAGAATGCATTGTCTGTGTGTGAAAATAGACAAAATAGTGAGATACACACAGGAACCAATTAGAATAACTATCAAACTGCAGATCTTTCCAGTTAATATGTAAAACACAGCAACATAAACAACAGACACAACTTAATGGCCAGTCAGAAAAAAACTGTCATAAAAACAATTAAAACAATGTATTTGCCATAAAAAAAAGTTGATACATTTTCCAATGTACTTAAAAAAATTCACAACCTGAAACTCTAAAAAACAATAAACAGAATGAAGAACACATACAGATCATTGTTTACAAAATATAATTATAAAATGTCGCTTTTTTCAACAGGATTAAAAAAAAATCATTTTTCCTAGAGTGTTGATAAAAATGAGGCCACACAGTAGGGGATTTGTATCTACAAATATTTTATATAATTTTATATTACATACAAACATTTTTAATATTATTTCAAGTTACATTTATTTAAAATTTTGACTTATGATCATGAGGCCTACTTATACATGTTTCTGAATTATTATACATATGTCCTGTATAATTTTTAGCCATTAAAACCCAGAAAAAAATCTGTGTGCTTGAATGCTTCCATTTTCAAAATAATGAAAAACAGCAAACATCTCCAATTTATGACAAAAAGCAATGAAGAAAATGATCAAGTTTATACACTTCTTTGGAATTTTTTTTTTTTTTTTTTTTTTTTTACATTTAATAATATATAACATCTTCATTGCACCAAAACTGAAATGTGAGTTACTGAGTATTTATATTGTTAATAAGGAACTAGGTCATGTAAATATATGTATGTACACAAAACCCAATATTATAATTCTTTTAATTGCTTTTTTTTCATTTTATATAAAAACACCTGTAGTCTTCAGCTGGTAGTAGGCTTCACTAAGGGCAGATACCACTGAAAAAGTGGGAAAAAAATTATAAGCAAAAAGTCATTGTATATAACTTATTGATTTCATGATCAAAGCATAGAAATCACGAGGTAATCAGGGTGCATATGTTCTTATTATGACAGTGTGTCCTCTAATGGATGCAGTGAAACCTAGACTTATATTTGATTTTTACAATTGTTTGCTGCTATGAAGATTGATATTGTAAAAACTACACAAATTTTACCTATAAACAATAAAATGTTTTTTTTTTATTTGTTAATGCAAGAATCAATGGTTGTAATTACTGCAAAAAAATATGATACATAACCTGCATAAGCTTCTTTTACATTGTGGAAAAAATACTTTTCTATCATTTTTTTAACGTCCCATTGATTTACAAAAATTAAATGCCCATTTTTCAACATTACCTCCTCTGTCATTCCTGCTATTTTTCTGCTCTCTGTATTAAACGGGGGCTTCAAAGACCTAAAAGTATAAAGCATTAAACAATAATAAACAATTTCATCAGGTATTCATTCAATCCTGAATTGACTTCAACATGTTCAATTTATTTTAAGAAATCAAATTTATTCAAACTTCTTACATACCCAAAGTACTGTTGCACTAATCTATGAAATGTTGGTATACAATCCTGGAAAAAAAAGTTCCACAGATGAAATCTCAGAGACATGCAAAATTCTCTACCTAAGTCCATATTTGAAATATGTGATTCCAAGCAGGGTTAATACATGTACATGTATAAGCTGTTGAAGGAATTTAACACTTACTTAGTATTATTTTTGGCAATTTCAGAGAACTACCATTATGGCATAAATTCTAACAAGGAATATATTTTGTTGCTCCACTGCATTTGACATTTCTATTGACTTCAGAAATTGAAACCTACCAGTGGAGGGTTGGAGTGAGTACAAACATAAGTGAACCATCTCATTCCTGCGGCCACATGAGTTATCTCATCTCGGAAAATGACCTCCAAGATGGCTGCCGATTCCTGGTCATTGTTCTTCACAAACTTTTCCAAGGTTTTTGGTTGTACATCAAGACCTCTTTAAACACAAATAAAAAAGATGAATTTAATTAAGATATTTCCATATCTTGAAAGCAATACTTTTTTAGGGAAAATAATAAATTTTTTAAAAAAGCCAAAATTTCCATGTGAGCTAACCTGGCTTCATGAACCATATGGACAACTGCCAGTCTTGCAAGTAAGCTGTCACTTGTGACTGTTGCAGAGGACCACAATGCTAAAAGTAAACGAACCACAAAATTAACAAAAAACGTGATTTATCAGCAGTAGATACATGTACCTACTCCTGATTTATATCTAGTTCCACACCTGTGAAATCAAAAAGAACTACAGATTTCCTGTCAGTTTGTCCCTCTGTCTGTCTGTCTGTCTGTCTGTCTAGCTGGATATAAGGACTTTATTCTATTCTAGAAAATATTTAAAAGAATAAGTTTATAAAATAGTTTAAGTAGGAACGACCTACCATTGTGAACAGGCAGAGCCCCAAAATAGCTTCCCAGGTCTTGTAGTCTGTCTGACAACATCTTATAATGCTGGAAAGAAGAAAAACTAAAATGTAGGCCTCTGGATAATGATTCACAGCATAAGACAGTAAAACAGTAAACTATGAAAATTACAACACACTGTCAATAACAACACAGCTACTTCATTTTCTAAATTTACCACAATGTCATGCTAAATAGTTGAATTTGACAGTGTCACAGGAAAGGGTTTTTTCCTTATTTTTTGAAATAGAAATTAGTCTGACCTTTGCTTCCTCACAGGCTACTCGGACAAAGTCATCATAGAAACCCTGTGGGAGAGCCTCATCAGTCCCCTCTGGTGTTGCCGTGGAGAAGCGGGCAATGATGTCCCATGACAAATCAATAGCCCACTGCTCGATGTTGGCCATAGAATGCAAGTTAGATATTCGGCTAGCCTAGAAGAAAAATTTACTTTGGGTTGGTGTTTTCATAATGTTTTTCTAACAGACTCAAGTAAAAAAGCATATTTTATATACCCCATATGTTTAGGTACATTTACTCAGAATTATTCTGACATTACATTGACCATATATTACCGGAGAGACCCCATTCCCTCTCTTTTTCTCCCTGCCCAGTTTTACGACGGTTAAATCTTTGTTTATATATTACCAGAGAGACCCCTTTCCCTCTCTTTTTCTCCCTGCCCAGTTTTACAACGGTTAAATCTTTGTTTATATATTACCAGAGAGACGCCCTTCCCTCTCTTTTTCTCCCTGCCTGGTTTTACGATGGTTAGATCTTTGTCCCTGGCCGGTTGGTCTGGTGGATGACTAACTCCGACAGTTAACTCCCCTTTTCTCCACATCTCTCCCACTCTCTGTGTCAGCTCTACCTAATATTTGTAAACAAAGGTATCATTAATGTATCCTCCTTTAATCCTTGTCAAGTTCATTATACTCCTCTGTACATATTTAAGTGTATTTCAATATTCACCTTATCATGATAATCAGTAGACTTTTACAATGCATTTATTCCTGTTTTACAATGCATTCATTCTATGTAAATGAAAATACATGTATACTAAATATTGTAGAGATGCCATATAAGTGTACTCTGTAAAGTTTATATATCATGGTCGTTTATTTTAAAAATAAAAAATAAGGGTGCAAACAGAAAATTCAATAAAAATAGAATAAGAACTTAATGGCTGGAGTTACCTACCTTTTGTTGAGGACAAGCTGTATTGAGGATCTTTGAGGCCCAGTATGCTAGACTTGCCGTGTCCTCATCCCCAGCGGTCTGAGCTGTTTCTGATTTTAAGAAAAAATTACATTTTTTATAGTAGCAGCTAGGAAGATTATTTTTTTTTTATACAAAATAGGAAACTGCTAATATGATCTGGCAAAATTAGATTAGCTTCAGCAGCAGTAGCTGCAATAATGTAGCCCTCCTCCGGTTTTTCTGGACAATGGTTGGGTAGAGATCTTTGTCCTACTACCCATGGCTGGTTGGTTTTTTGCGCCGACTTCGGCAGCTCGTTTCAATAAATACAGGTGAAATAAATTATGCCCGCCTCAACTTTTTCCTTTGAACATCCCTTAAAGTGTCCACTATAAAACTTTACTTTCTTACCTTTAAAAGGTTTAAATCCAGTAAAATATAAAGTTGTCAGCTTTTTCCTACAGCATAATGGCTGTTTGCTATTCATTTAAACCTTGTAAACAGTTCCATAATAATCTGTTTCCAATAATTCATACTATAGATCATTCTTATAAGAAATAGTAGTAGTACGAATTATTGGAAACAGATTATTGTGGAACTCTACATAAGGTTTAAATGAATAGCAAACAGCCATTATGCTGTCAGGAAAAATAAACACCTTTATATTTTACTGGATTTAAACCTTTTAAAGGTAAGAAAGGAAAGTTTTATAGTGATAGACACTTTATGTTCAAAGGAAAAAGTTGAGGCGGGCTGTTTTATTTCAGCCTGTATTTATTCTATGTAAATGAAAAAACACGTTGTATGGCACCTGTCTATTGTAGAGATGCCAAATTTTCAGTCTCTACCCATCTCGCTGAGATTAGGAGAGCATCTCCGTAATGGTGCAAATATTTTTTTTTAATAGGAGCGACTGCAGGCAAAATAAATTATTTTTACATTCAACTTACTTCTAATAAGACGAATTTTTTATTCACTGTCAAAATTAAATGCGAAAAACTTGTAAAATAACTCTGCATGTTTCCTTAGTTTACTTCAGCAGCCATGACAGTTCACGCGTGACGTAATGAGACTTTCGCTTGAAATTCAGAACAACTGAATTAAGCAATTATCGGTGTTTATAAATGTATGTGCTGAATTTCATCACAAAAACATAGGTATATAAAACCATTTTAAGTGTTATTTTTATGCAAGCAGCGATATTTATGTTTAAAATAAGGGAATTCCAAAAAGATCCGCTCCTATAGAACCTAAATTCTCATTGGCTGTCCCAAAATACAATCTATCAAGGTCAGTAAACATGGCGGATAAATTCGAGTTGTGATGTTGACATACACGAAAAAAAGCGATATACATTTTTTATATTTTTGCAGGTTTACTCTTGGATGACTACTTATTTTTTGTTAATAAAATAGCCATTTACTGTTAATTTGAGGAAACTGCTGAAAATCCCGCAGCTGCACCATTATAGCAAAATTGTATTCTCCCACTTTATTGCAGCGCAGCAGTTGTACACTATAAATGTGACAGATGAAGGAAATTGTACAAACAGACACGCTGACAACATGAATCCACAGACAGGCCAGTGAAAATGAGACATCTAATAGTCAAAACATGTATTCTGTATCAAAAAAGCTTTGTATATTATACCACTTCTAGGTGATACAAAAAAAAAAGAATATATGTAGTTCAATTGAGTCCAATCTTTGCTTTGTACTTTTCTTACCTGTTTCTGGTTTCTTGGTAACTGGATTCTTGAATGGTTTGGTTGACAACTCACTCCCTGTGTAAATGTAAAGCTGGTCATCCTTTATACAAACTTCATAGACATCTTGCTGTAAAATAACATGACAATATTATTAATTAAAGTATTTTAAAAAATACATTGTTTAACTCTTTAGTCTTTTAAAACATGTTCACATGTATTTTAAGGTACATGCTGGCAGTTCACCTTCAGTCCATAGGATGATTCCCCAGTTTCAAGGTCAAAGTCATAAGAGTGCCAAGGGCAGACAATCTTCTCCCGACCATCCAAATCCTCTATATCACCCTGCTCCAGAGGGCCACCTTAATATCAAGTTTGTAATCTTATTGACAATATTTGTATCAAATGAATCCATAAAATATAACAAAAGGGACTAGGGTTATTTATTTAATTGGCTCTTGACTTTTACAAACGAATTGTTTGAAATGCTTAAAATTTTGAATTTCACCTTCATGTGAACAAACTGCTCCCAGTGCATAGAATTTGTCTTTCTTTTTGCTGTAGATTACTACAATATCCTCTCCATCATCAGCATAATATCTGTGAAAAAAATTGAAAAAAAAAAAAAAATTATTTAAAAAAAATCTTTCTATTAACTGATTACTTAAAATTGTCAGTATAGGACATTTTCTAAGGATGCCTGTCATACTACATGTATGAGCCAAATATTATAAATGGAACATTCGCGGGAAAAGAAAGAGTAAGAGACTAAGAGTACTCCAAGAAACATTCTACTTTCCAACACGTATTAATTAATGATCGGCAATGTACATAGAAAGGTGGTTTCAGAAAGTGCAGTAGACAGTCAGAACATTTCGCTGAGTCTTTCAGAGTATTGCAACATCTGTTAGTAATCATGGCGAATAAAAGTTTTACCTGTTACAAATGTATTTTTTCAACTTGGTTACGGGTCCTGCACAATACCAGTTGGTTCCAGTAACCACGTCTCGTAAAGCAGTTACAAGATCTTTATTATATCCCGAAGTCATTCTCTGTTGACAATGATGCAATAAAAAGATTTTCCACAGTTTTTTGCCGAGTATCATTTGTGAAAGTAAACCGAAACCGAAAGCAAAAAAGATAACTCGTTCTTAGTGTATTCGATAATAAAATGCTAGTATTAACACACGAGCACGTCCGAATGTCACGAATGTCAATCATTTGGTCATGATATTATCCGTATCATTTTCATTACTAGCACTTTCCATGTTTACTTGAACTCGAAGTGATTTCAGTTTAAAATTCTCTAAAAAATGAAATGATCTTTTGTACATATTTGGAATTCTTTGAAAATGGCAAGTGATTTTTAGACAGTTTAAAATTCTTTTTAAATAAAAAAAGTGCTTTTCAAAAAATACAATCGTAATTAATAAAGTACTATTCATTAATCTTTTGTACAAATCCAGTCATTTTTTTTTTTTTCTGGATTCATTCTTTGTATTTTGTTGTATACAACCATCTGTATTTTACCGAAAAAGAAATCATTTCATTTAATTTTCTTTTTTTTTCAGTATATCATTTTATTCATATATATTCACTGTAGTTACATGTATTTCATCTATTACACCCGACTGTTTTATACCTCATGTTGCTATGATCACTAAAAATAATTAAACTTCTAGATTTGTTGGTTATTTGTCCTTAGATTTTTAATAAGTACTGAAAACTTAATTTACCTTGAAAATATATTTTTCAAATGAAAGCGCTTTCTTTAAAATACAATCTTTTGAAGTGATCAGTGTATTACAGCGTAAATTACCATTCATTAATGAATCATGTTGTGACTAATCCAGTCATGTTTTTTTCCATTCCTGGTGTACTTTCGAGTCACCATCAGTATTTTACCTAAGAAGAAATCATTTCATTAATTTTTTTTCTATTTTTTCAGTATATCATCTTGTTCATATACTCACTGTAGTTACATGTATTTCATATATTACACCAGACTGTTTTATACCTCATGTTGCTATGATCACTAAAAATAATCAAACTTCTAGATTTGTTTGTTATTTGTCCTTATTTTCGCCATATTTAAAAAGTACTGTTCTTGATTATTTAGCACTTAATTTACCTTGAAAAATGAAAATATAACCTTTAGGACTATACATGTTAACTGTATGAAAAACTTTTTTTTCACAGGAACTCCTTGATCAGTTAGAAAGAGAGGAGATTCCAGCTCATATTCGGGAAGCCAGATTAGAAGCTCTGAAAAAACAGAGCACTGATCTTCAGCTCATGAAAGAAAAGCAGCATGGTCTATATACGTATGATGTTTATACTTTCATTTAAAAACTACTGCAAATTTGCAACTTCTTTTTTGGGGAAATATTGTATTTACATGTATATTTTAAATAATCTTTGATACAAAGATACAGTAAAACTTCCCTTATCTGGACACTACTGGGTCATATTGTCAATTTATCAATGAAACTTGTGTTTATTTCCTTTTACCATCAAAATTAATTCAGGCTGCCCATTGACCCACAAATTAAATTGATTTTCATAGTATGTGGTTTTCTTTTTCGATATTTCTCACTACGTTATTGTAAGGATGAAGGGATGTATAATACTTTCAGGTAAATTTAATGAATTAGATTCATCAAAAAACATTTGTTAAAAAAAAGTTTCCCTAAAAGGATGAAACACGCCCTTCAGCACATTTAACCTTGCTTGGCAACAGTGATATATTTCAGAGAATAAAGACTGCATGGAATCTATGCGCACACACATCATCTTTTTTTGTACTATATAAAACATTCAGTGTTCTGGTAATATATAAATAAATACTGCATATAGTTGCACGAGGGTAACATTGAACATTTTCATCCCTAAAGAAGTATTGTCAACCTTGGCTGCACCTTGTTAACAATGGATTTAATGGGGTGAAAATTTTCAATGTTACCCTCATCTACATACATCTACATAAAATTTGTTTTAATTAACAAAATGTCATCAATAATTGACAGAGAGATTCCGGTGGAGAAAGGATTTCTAGATTTAACTACACAAGAAGAGAGGTGTGTTGTACACTTTTTTCATGAAGATTTCAGGAGATGTGCAATCATGGATACACACATAGAGGTATTTCTAATCATTAAAAATCATCTCTTTATGTAAAACAAATATCTTAAAAGAAAACATACTAGATTTCATACAATAAATGACATTATGTCATCTACCTGCATAAGATCGTCTAACTGTGTGAATGTACAGTGTATATGTATATATTTACTGAAGATGTGAATTTTTTATGAAATTAAATTCCTCATGCACACTTCATTGTCTTTATGTTATTTTTGCAGGCCTTGACAAAGAAATATTTTGAAACAAAGTTTGCCAAAATAAATGTAGATAAAGCAAAGTACTTTGTGGAGAAGCTTAAAATTCGAGTATTACCAGCTGTGTTGTGTTTCAAAAATGGACAAGTTGTAGACAGGTAAATTATTAACATATAATTTATGACAGATTTAGTTTTTTACTAATTTTAATAAAACAACTTTCATCACTCTATCAGTCTTTCAACGGCATGATTTTATTTAATAATTACCAGAAACGTCATGTGATAATTTCTCAGAGCTCCAGATAAGGTGCGTATTTGCAGAAATACGCATTAAATGTTGCAAAATATGCATTGAAAATTAAAATAGAGTGTACAATTACGCATTAGCAATCAGAGATACGCATTACACCACGAAAGTTCTGCGTACAAGTTGAAGAATACAGGTACGACTTACTTAATGATACGAATTGAGGTTATTAGTGTGTGATTTTTCTCAAAACGAAGTGCCAATTTAAAATCCTTTTAGTGACCAGGAATATTCTGGTAAATGACGACGACGATCTCCATTCAGGAGGAAGAATCGGAGATTTAGATTAAAATCAATTTCTATGTAGAAAGACTATGCACTTGGCATAACTTTTTTTTATTATGGGTTCATAGCCAATTTTTCATCTCTCTCAACTTGCCGTATTAACGAAGATTCTTTCAGTTTACTCTTGATACAATATTTTAAATGAAGGAAAAGTTTTCTATGTCTCTTATGGTACAGTGTACCTTGACCTACTGTATAATCTTCATTGTCAAAAAAGAATGCTTCCCAATCTTAGCAAAAAGTCTTGTTAGTATTTACAAAATTTATTTAAATAATTTATGCAGGAACTGACTTTTTTCCCTCTTCAAAAACTCATACTTCGATTACAAGCTCAAAATCAATATAAAGGTCAAAAAATTTATATATAAACAAAAATACTCTTCAACCATTTTGCTGAAAATCAAAATCTGCATTGATTTGAAAATCAGGGAGTAAATACACTTTGGGGTAAAAAATTATCTGGTTTCTTATTTCTTTCATAGTGTATAGCAGTTTCTTTAATACTAAACAAATTAACACACACTGAAATAAGCAATGCAATGAAAAGCTCTCAAAAATGATAACAGCTAGATGAAGAGTTTTTCCCTCTGATTGCTTTAGTCAATGTTTTACTAGACAGTCTTCTATAATCCTTATAATATTTATTGCATTTAGACTTATAGACTCAGTGTTCTCCTGTTATTTCAAAGTATTTAAAAGGGTTAAAGATCAATTGTAACAGGCTAGAGGTTGAGGTTTATGACAAAGCTCTGTGGACCTTACAACAATTAAATTTATATTCTTTCATTTAAAGCGGCATTTTTGTCGATTAATTGAAGTGGTCAATTTTGATTGTAGCTGGTTCCTAGGGAAAACACTGAATAGACACTTAGTAATTTACTCAACCTTTAATTTGCTCATGCACAGAGCATGCATATACCCTGTTCATCAAATTCAAGTTTATTATGTGAATAAAATTCAGTGTGGGGGTTCAGTTTGGGGTCTGGGTCAAGATTTTAAAAAAATACCAAAATGCATTTTTTCCTGGCATTTTAAAAAAAATTATATTTATTATTTTTCAGGATAATTGGTTTTGAAGAACTTGGGAACACAGACAGCTTTCCTACCTCAGTTTTAGAAAAAAGACTTGGGAAATCAGGTAAAACATTATGACACAGAGCAGCGAGCCATAAATTACAGATAGAAACTGATCCATTAATAGTTGTATATGAAGTTGTTAACCATCTATTATTTTCTATGTTGTAGGTGTAATAGACGTCCCCGATGTCAGACCCACAAATAAAACTGTGTTTGGTTTTAACAAACCATCAGAAGACTGTAGTAGTGATGATGATGATTATTAAAAGATTTTTATTTTAATTGTTGTTTGTCAATTTTTGAAGTTAAATATTGCAGTGAACTTCATGTGCTAAAAGCCTATAGCTTTAGATATATAAACATAGGTAATCAGAAATAACACAGCTCACCTCAACGAATGTAGTCTTTAAGTATTAAGGCAAAGTCGCACAATTACCCAACAAAGAGTGTACATCCAAAAATGCAAAATTTATGCAATTTTGATCTGATACTTTGGAAAAGACCTAAATAAAAACTTCAAACTAGTTCTTCAATCTTCATCACGAAAATGTAATTAAAATTCAGCATCTGAAGCAAGTTTGAGAGTTTTCATCCCTTGATGCATCATTTGTGCAAGTTTGGTTTATATAAGCCTTATAGTTTCTTGGTATTAGACCTGCACCCGTTACTTTTTCCTGGACCATTATGTGGAAAATGTATGTCGAATTCAGCATCTGAAGCAAATCCTTTAGTGTGCATCCTAAGATGTATCATCCATGCAGGTTTGCACAACATAGAGTTTATAGTTACTTGGAAATGAAACCTGCATAAAAATTTAACCTCTTCACTCATCCAGAAAATGTAGGTCAGATTCAGCATCCGAAGCCGAAGCAAATCCTTTAGTGTGCATCCTAAGGTGTATCATCCATGCAAGTTTGGTCATTAAAGAGCTCAAAGTTACTTGGAAATGAATCTTGCACCAAAAACTTTAACCTGTTCACCCATCCGTAAAATGTAGGTCAGATTCAGCCTCCGAAACAAGTCTGGTAGTATGCATCCTAAGATGTATCATCCATGCAAGTTTAGTCATTATAGGACTCATATATAGTAACTTGGAAATGTAACCTGCACCAAAAACTTTAACCTGTTGACTCATCTGGAAAATGTAGGTCAGATTCAGCATCTGAAGCAAGTCTGGTAGTATGCATACTAAGATGTACCATCCATGAAAGTTTGGTCATTATAGGACTCTAATAGTATCTTTGAAATGAAACCTGCACCAAAAACTTCAACCTGTTCACTCAACCGGAAAATGTAGGTCAGATTCCGCATCCGAAGCAAGCCTGGTAGTGTGCATCCTTAGATGTATCATATTCATGCAAGTTTGGTCAATATAGGGCTTATAGTTACTTGGAAATAAGACCTGTGCCAAAAACTTTTAACCTGTTCACTCATGCGTAGGTCAGATTCAGCATCCGAAGCAAGCCTGGTCGTGTGCATCCTTAGATGTATTATCCATGCAAGTTTGGTCAACATACAGCTTATAATGATAAGGAACTACGTTACAATAAAAACTGGACAAAAATTGTAGATGACTTAGAAAAAATTTTGAGTCTTGGAAAAAAAGAAAATTAACAATTCTTGGCAAAGTCTGTGTAATTAATAGTCTAGCAATATCAAAAATTATATATGTTGGGTCAATTTTAAACTTTCCAAATGAAAATACAGTGAAGAAAATACAAAGTCTAATTTTCAATTTTGTATGGAACAAGAGGCCCATGGGCCACATCGCTCACCTGAACACTAAGGGTAGGAAAAAGTACAAAATGGCTTTTTATTGTAAAATTTAAATCCAAAAGTAGTCCCATGACCAATCATGGATTTGCTATTTTTTAGAAAATGATTTTTAAAAAGAATTTTCCTATATATTTCTATGTAAAAGTTTGGTCGGCCATTTTGGCCCCGCCCTACCCCTGGGGATCATGATTTGAAAAAATTTGAATCTACACTACTTGAGCATGCTTCCATATAAATATGATGAATTATGGCTTTGTCACTCTTGAGAAGAAGATTTTTAAAGAATTTTCCTATATATTTCTATGTAAAACTTTGGTCGGCCATTTTGGCCCCGCCCTACCCCCGGGGGTCATGATTTGAACAAACTTGAATCTACACTACCTGAGCATGCTTCCATATAAATATGATGAATTATGGCTTTGTCACTCTTGAGAAGAAGATTTTTAAAGAATTTTCCTATATATTTCTATGTATAACTTTGGTCGGCCATTTTGGCCCCGTCCTACCGCCGGGGGTCATGATTTGAACAAACTTGAATCTACACTACCTGAGTTTGCTTCCATATTAATATGATGAATTATGGCTTTGTCATTCTTGAGAAGAAGATTTTTAACGAATTTTCCTATATATTTCTATGTAAAAGTTTGGTCGGCCATTTTGGCCCCGCCCTACCCCCTGGGGGTCATGATTTGAACAAACTTGAATCTTCACTACCTGAACATGCTTCCATATGAATATGATGAATTATGGCTTTGTTATTCTTGAGAAGAAGATTTTTAATGACTTTATCAATACATTTCTATGTAAAACTTTGGTCGGCCATTGTGGCCCCGTCCTACCCCCGGGGGTCATGATTTGAACAAACTTGAATCTACACTACCTGAGCATGCTTCCATATAAATATGATGAATTATAGCTTTGTCATTCTTGAGAAGAAGATTTTTAAAGAATTTTCCTATATATTTCTATGTAAAACTTTGGTCTGCCATTTTGGCCCCGCCCTTCCCCCGGGGGTCATGATTTGAAAAAATTTGAATCTACACTACCTGAGGCTGTTTCCCCATAAGTTTCATCTTTCCTGGCACAGTGGTTCTTGAGAAGAAGATTTTTTAAATATGCCACCAAATTTTCATTAATTCCCAATTATCTCCCCTTGAATGAGGGCGTGGCCCTTCATTTGAACAAACCTGAATCCCCTTCACCCAAGAATACTTTCTGTCAATTAAGTTTGGTTGAAATTGGCCCAGCGGTTCTTGAGAAGAAGTTGAAAATGTGAAAAGTTTACAGACAGACGGACAGACAGACAGACAGACGGATGCTGGACAAAATGTGATCAGAAAAGCTCACTTGAGCTTTCAGCTCAGGTGAGCTAATAAAAAAAGGAGACAGAATAAAATGAAACACTCACTGATTGGAAGTGTTCAAGAAGGAGGAATAGGTATTGTTGATGTTCCTTTAAAACTAAAATGATCTGTAAAAGTATCGTGGATTAAAAACATATTAAGTAAAGCAAATTCCTTATTCCTATTTGTTGATAGTTTGTGTATAGCGAGAAATATCTATGTAAAACAAACATTATTGATACAAAAGATCATCGAATTGTACAAAGAAATGCTAGTATTTTTTAATGAATGTAAAAGAAACAAAAGAGAACTGAATTTGAATGTATGGCACGCCAAATTCACAAAAATGAGATAATCATAGTTTCACAATTGATAAACTAGGTTTATCGGTTGTAAACCATAGTTTACGGACTGTTAACTATAGTTAACAACGTTAATCTATATTTCACATCTGTAAACCATCGTTAACGCGATAATCTATGTTTCACAACCGTAAACTATACTTAACACCGAAAACAATCATTTGCGATTGCAAAACATAGATTATCTGATAAATACAGTTTTGCGATTTGTAAACTATAGTTTACAAACCGTTAACTATTGTTAACGATCTGATAAATATAGTTTCATGATTTGTGAAACTATGATTAACAACTCTTAACTATAGTTTACGATTGTAAACTATAGTTTACAAACGTGAATCTATGTTTATCAACAAAATCTATTGTTAACGCTTGATTCCTACAGATAAACTTATAGATTAGCATTCGTAAACTATAGTTAAGGACCGTTAAATATAGTTTTACAGATGAAAACTATGCTTAACGAATCGTTAACCATAGTTTACAGTTTGCAAACTATAGTTTACAGTCGATAAACCTAGTTTATCAATTGTGAAACTAGGTTTATCTCATTTTTGTGAATTTGGAGTGCCATATGAATGCTTTATTAAAGGAACCACTGTGGTGTAATAATAAAATGAATTATAAAAACAAGAGGCCCATGGGCCACATCACTCACCTGAGCACTTAGGGTAGGAAAAAGTAGAAAATGGCTTTTTATTGTAAAGTTTAAATCCAAAAGTAGTCCCATGACCAATCATGGATTTGCTATTTTTTAGAAAATGATTTTTAAAGAATTTTCCTATATATTTCTATGTAAAAGTTTGGTCGGCCATTTTGGCCCCGTCCTACCCCTGGGGGTCATGATTTGAACAAATTTGAATTTACACTATCTGAGCATGCTTCCATATAAATATAATAAATTATGGCTTGGAGAAAGATGTTTAAAGAATTTTCCTATATATTTCTATGTAAAACGTTGGTCGGCCATTTTGGCCCCACCCTACCCCCAGGGGTCATGATTTGAACAAACTTGAATCTACACTACCTGAGCATGCTTCCATATAAATATGATGAATTATGGCTTTGTCAGTCTTGAGAAGAAGATTTTTAAAGAATTTTCCTATATATTTCTATGTAAAAGTTTGGTCGGCCATTTTGGCCCCGCCCTATCCCTGGGGGTCATGATTTATTCAAACTTGAATCTACACTACCTGAACATGCTTCCATATAAATATGATGAATTATGGCTTTGTCATTCTTGGGAAGAAGATTTTTAAAGAATTTTCCTATATATTTCTATGTAAAAGTTTGGTTGGCCATTTTGGCCCCGCCCTACCCCCGGGGGTCATGATTTGAACAAACTTGAATCTACACTACCTGAGCATGCTTCCATATAAATATGATGAATTATGGCTTTGTCATTCTTGTGAAGAAGATTTTTATAGAATTTTCCTATACAGTGGACCTTCAGATATCCGGACGCCATATATCCGGATGCTTCAGTATCCGGACGATTTTTCATCGGAACGAAATTTTAAAATGTTATTCTGTCTTTTTAAACTGGTGATTCAGATATCCGGATGCTTCACATATCCGGACAAATTGACTGGGAACCAAAGCGTCCGGATAAATGAGGGTCCACTGTATATTTCTATGTAAAAGTTTGGTCGGCCATTTTGGCCCCGCCCTACCCCCGGGGGTCATGATTTGAACAAACTTGAATCTACACTACCTGAGCATGCTTCCATATAAATATGATGAATTATGGCTTTGTCACTCTTGAGAAGAAGATTTTTAAAGAATTTTCCTATATATTTCT